CAAGCAGGCTGAGGGGATGGTCCCAAACTATGAACCACATATAAAGGATTATTTAGAAGATTGTAAAACTTACAGCTAGGAGAATTTGTAGCAGAAGCAAGAAATCCATTGCTTTCTAATTCAAGATGCTCAGCTGCTCCAGGAGCCACCATCTTGGGTGAGACCAAGCGGGGGAAGGATCAGAGCAGCTACGGACGCCTGACAGAACTGCGGAGATAAAGGTGTGGACATTCTTTTCTTTTGGTATCTGTTCATTGGTCCCTTGCTGTCTGCACACCTCCATTCTGGTGACTGTAGGGGTGTCTGCGCTAGTGGAAATCCCAGACCCACCCTCGGAGGGTTCTACTACGCATGCGCAAAAATATCCTCGAAATTTAAAGAGACAGTTTCCACTTAAAACCAAAAAGCCTCAGCAGGCCCTGAACTGTTTATAACTAGAAAAAAGGCCTGAACAGGGATTGTGGAGCAGGACAGGCAGACTAAAAAGGAAATAGGCTGAAAATTAAATCTTAAGTTATGTCACAACGACCAACTAGTGGCATCTTGAAATTTCTCAAGAAGAAGAGTGAAAAGGGAAGCCCATTTCCTGATCACATCTACCCGGAGACAATCAGAAAGCATAAAAAATACCAAAATACATACCCATCTAAGTATTAAGACCACAGATAACTCCTGACTATGCCCAAAAAACCGAAGCAGATGACCATATCAGCACATGTCCAGAAACGAGACAAAGTGAATGAGGCAAAGGAGCTGGAAGTAGACCTACACTCCATACTGGAAGATGGGCAGGCTTTGGAAATGCCTAAGAAGGAATTCAGAAAAATTATTATAAAATGTATCAAAACACTGTATAATGGAGTTGAGAAAAATAAGGAAGAAGTCAGGAAAGTGCTACAGGAACAATCAAAGAAATGGACAATACACTGAAAGGGCAAAGAAGTAGAATTGAAAAGCTAGAAGCCAGAACTACTGAGCTAGAAGATAAATCTCTGAATACCACTAAGATAGAAAAGCAAACACAAAAAAGGATAAAAAACAATCTGAAGAAGGCCTAATATTCATGTTGGATAACATGAAGAGAAATAACATAAGAACTATTGTCATTCCGGAACAGGAACAATCACACAAGTCCACAGAGGAGATAGTTGACAAGCTTCTGGAAGAAAATTTTCCTTAAAGAAAAACAATTTTTTTTTTTTTTTTTTTTAAATAAAGGAAACAAGGGTAAATTGCTTCAATTTAATGAACCTGACCTATATTCAGAGTGGTAGTTACTCTAAATACCAACAGAGAGGAAAAGAGTCTTCACATCAAATATCAATGCTATTCCCTCTGTACACAGAGTAGATAGAGACAGGCAACTTAGACATTGGCTACCTAATATCAGGGGGCAATAAAGGCACAAAGTGACTAGCTTACAAGGTTTCAAGAGGGAGTTTAGTTTAAGAGTATGGGGGGAAAGCAAAGTCCCCACTAAATAGCTGTCATCTTGTCTACATGGGTCTGGTGAAAAGAGATGGGGATAAGAATCCTAAGATTCAATAGTGAATAATTGTTATCATGACTAATTGCAACTGTCACAATTGTAAAGTTAGAAGTTTTGAACAAAAACAGGGGAGTGGTTCATCTTACAGTCCAGAAATAGAGGACCCTAGGACCATCCAGAGAGAAGCGCACAAGCAGAGTGCGGGACCTTATCCAGAGAAGCAGCAGCACCAGAGATTGAGGCAGAGATGGGGGCATGGAGAGGGGTAGCTGCTGAGGACTCTAGATTCATGGACTAAGAAGAGAGGACTAAGAGCTGGTGGCCAGGAGGCAGACTTGCAGTATGCGCCCTTTGGAGATGTAAATTATTATATATGCCTGAGTGGTGTTTTTGTTTGTTGGTTGGTTTGTTTTTAAAAAGCTAAAGTGAATAGAGAGAAATACTGATGGTACATGGAGGGGATTATAATCCTTGTAATGAAACAAGGTGTATGATTTTTTAAATGTAAAACTGATGATATGCCCTGTAAACTTTCACTCAATCCATAATAAAAACCTTAAATAAATAAATAAATAAAATTAAAAACCTGATTATGTAGTCACAAATTGTAATGTTGAAGATAATGGAATTTGGTGTTGTTACATGGTTTGTGTGATTCAAGTTTTCTAAGCTTGAAGGGTCTCCTGTTCATGTGTTGTTACTGTTAAGTGGTCTAGTCAGTTACGATGCATATTGACTCTGTATAGGGTTTCAGAGGAGGGGCTGGTGGGTTTGAACCACTGACCTTGCATTTCAAACTGACCTTGTGGTCCACCAGTACAGCTGCCATACCAGGACTCCTGGTCATGTGAGGAGATGCTATTTAGACAACTTCCTGTCTCAACCTCTGCTCATCTGAAGATAGAACAAAAGAAATACATATTATTCTTGAAGAGCATTTAAATGGATCTTGCTCAACACAAAGTGGGGTTTCAAATGGCATGGTGCCCACCCTCTGAACTTACTCTTAGATGATGTGACACATGTGGTAAACAGGATATTAATACATTACACCTGTCAACAAAATAAAACAGTGTATTTTATGTTTTATTTTTTTCCTTACTGGTTTTATGGTTTGCTTTGCACATATTACCTCATATGCAGAGACTAGCAAATATGTTTGAATGTTAAACGAAAAGTTTCATCATTTACCATTTTTTGTTAAGGATTTCATGCTAGGAAAAAAAATTTTTTTGAACCATTCTAGGCGGTGTTGTAAGTGCCGTGGAGTCGGTTCTGACTCAGATTATACCCTGTATAGGTTGTCTGAAGATTCTAGTAGTAAAGTATAAAATACCTGTAACAACACACATACACATACACACACACACACATACACAATTAACTTTTACCATGTCTGTACTACATACCAGACAACACTCTTGTCACTGCATACATGAACTTTTTAAAATTAATGGGTATGGCAAACTCCAAGAGCCTCTTAAAGAGTGAAAGGGGCCGTGCCTACAGGCAATAGAGGTTGGACCCATAATCAGGACTCATAACCCACACGATTCAGAAATCTGGCAGGTGAAGAGATAATGGCAAATCGCTTCTCTCATGTCCAAGTGAAGGTGGTCAGGAAAGAATGGGAAGGTTATCAATCGGCCCACATCTAGAGTGAGGATAATCAATCCAAATTGCTTAACCAAGTGAGTCAAAACCTGCATGATGCTGGTGAGTTATGTGTGGGGGTTGTATACAAGAATCGCTCTCCAGGCCATTAAGCCCTTTCCCAATACTCAGGGTGTCTTTACAGCCCTTTGAGCTTTACTTTGGCCCCGAGCATCAAAATTTGCGTGTCCTGCCTCTCCCCGCAGCCTTCCTCCTCCGCCTAGTGGAGGTCAGAACGCCGCGCTTCGGGTGCGGTCCCGCGCATGACGCCGGCCGCGGGCCACGCTGGCAGCGCCCTGTCCACGAAAAAGACCGCCCCTTCGGCCCGAGCAGCGGGGCGTGGGTCGGCCGCCAGCCTTAGCTGCAAGATGGCTCGGGCACGTCCACACCCGTCGGCAAGGATCCTCAGCAGCTGCGAGGCCCGCCCCTGGCCGTTCCCTCCCGGCCCCTCCAACCCTCGGGCTCCCAAGCCTCGTTGCGCGCAACGCAGCAAAGATGCCGGCCACGCTCCCGCCCCTGCGGTTCCTAACTGTCAGGAGGAAAGGCGGGTGGTGTGTCCGTCACGTCATATGGGCCGCCCATCTCCCATTGGCTGCGGTAGCCTCACCAGACCGAATGTTTACCTG